CTCCTTTTTTCCTTTTTTTTTTTTTTTTTTTGGAGTTTCTGTTCCACATTGGAATCAATTCTATTAAGTCATCGTCTCAGAAGAGAATTCAACTGACTTGGTTAGGGAATTTGAACGGTTAATGTTGGCATAATATGTATCAGCATAGTCATGCAGCTCTCAGTTCCTCTCTTGTTGGCTGGCTTCTCCAATTATATGTAAAGTCTGAATTGATGGAGAACCACTATAATAGCCTTAAACTAGAATTTGGCATAACATTGTAAATAGATGGCTTAATAAGTAAATATTTATTTTATAGATATTTTCGTACTTCTTTATTTTCTCTGAAATACCTCGTCTTTCAGATTAATAATTCATTCTGTTTCTCCTTAAGGTTTTCAGGAGAAAATATCAATTTAGTCATTTGAAAGAGAATAAAATGATACAAATAAAAACATAGTTAAGAGGGAAAAATTATTGAGAAAAGAATGCTTAGATATGTGGTTTTTCCCTCCTTCCTATTATAGTATTCCATGCTGATTTATCGTAGGAACTTTATTTTCATGGATAAGAAGTATATAATTCCTGTGTCCATTGTTTGCTGTTAATAAGTTATTCATGGCAGGTGGGTTGCAAACTCATTGGATTTCAACAAGAACTATGATGCCAGTGTTTTTGAGACAACCATAAGGTGGCTGTATAAGGTTTAATATGCCTATTTTTTTCTTAGGTTGATTTTTTTTCTCATGGTTTACATATGTAAATTTTCTAATACTGCCAGGCAGCCTTAATTAATGAAGAGTTGTGTGGTCATGATGAGTATTCCGTGCTCTATTGTTTACCTTGTTTTGTTTTAGTGCTTATAATTTTATTTGTAATAATACAGAGTTGTAGGTGGACTTATCAGTTCATATGATCTCTCTGGAGATAAAATTTTCCTTGAAAAGGCTAAAGACATTGCTGACAGACTGCTGCCTGCATGGAATACTCCTTCGGGCATCCCATATAATATTATTAACTTGGCCCATGGGAATCCACATAATCCTGGGTGGACTGGGGTAAGTCGTGATAATGAAAACTACCTCATTTTCTTTCACAAGCTGTACACATCCTGGTTAGTAATGCTAAGTTTTGTTCATTATTTATAGCATGTGAATGCCTGCTCAAGCATCCTGTTTAATCAGTTGACGTAAACTCATGTTTTAAGGAAATACATGTTGCCTTCTTCCTGTGCTTGATGTGTGTGCATTATTTTGAACTTACAGAATTCTTACGTGCTATGGTAACTTATTTAGTGATGATTTGATACTGAAAGTCTGCCATTAGGGTTCTATTCTGCTTTGTTCATTTATCTTAATTAACTTGTTGATTCTGCTTATTGTTATGTTTAATATCATTGTCCAGTTCAGTACCATATATTTGATCTTCTTCCCCTTTTAATCCTCAAAAGTTTACACAACTATTTATAAATTCAAACTAGCATCTTTGATTGTCTGTTTATTTGTATAGATTTGTAGTTTTTTTCTCTACATTGCTTCATGTGTGCGAAGGGGATATGATTTCTTGTGTTTTCCTTTTTAGGGTGATAGTATCCTGGCAGATTCTGGCACGGAGCAGCTGGAATTTATTGCTCTTTCCCAGAGGACAGGTGACCTGAGCTATCAGCAGAAGGTATTCTTTATCAAAGTTTACTCTGCTTTTAAGACAACATGTTGTGTATGTGGCTCATATAGAGTAAAACACAAGTTTATACTTCTTATGGATGTAGGCACATCATCGAACCACGTAAATACTTGTGTTGATTTCTCTCTTTTATCTCTTTATTATTGCACATAAAATCCAACACAACAGTGTTCCTCAAAAAGGAAAGTGAAAGAAACATCATACGAGAAGTTGTCATTGTTGTTGACGCATATCTTTTCCCCATGAAACTTGAGTTCATAGCTAAAATATCAGAATTTGCGTGATATATAATTTGTTAGTGATTTTTATTTCCACTTGAATTTGGTATTTATCTTTCATCATGAACTGAGTACTACTTAAATTTTTCAGGCTGAAGATGTCATTCTAGAGCTGGATAAAACTTTTCCTTCTGATGGTTTACTTCCCATCTATATTAACCCTCATGGAGGGACCAGATCATACTCTACCATAACTTTTGGAGCCATGGGGGACAGGTATAAATTCTACTTCTGGAAGAGTTTTCGGTGGTGAACGTCTTAAAAATATGCATCTTATGAAGTATAAAGTATTTATAATATTATCTACCAATAAGGTTGATAGTCATTACCACCCTTTTTTGTTCACCATGTAATGAAAGGAAAAACTATATTGCAGCTTCTATGAATATTTACTCAAGGTCTGGATCCAAGGAAACAAAACAGCCGCGGTGAAGCATTATAGGTGAGTAACTATTTCTGCTACTATCCTTGTGAATCACAAAAACACATGCCATAGATTTATACATGACCGAGGAAGGTTATTTATTTCTTTATACTATTAATTGTTATATTATTATTCATTTTAGTTTAGATTGATTTTTGTTGGTTGACTGTCTTGTATTTTTCTAGAGCCTCGTTCTGTAATTCAGCTGTTCAAATATTATTCCTTTCCCATAATTTTCTGATAAATGCCTGTGTATCTAACAGAGAAATGTGGGAGACTTCAATGAAAGGTCTTCTAAGCTTGGTTCGAAGAACTACCCCTTCTAATTTCGCATATCTTTGTGAGAAGACTGGGAATTCTTTAACAGACAAGGTGATATTTAGTGCTAATGGGTAAAATTATTGCTGAAAACAAAATTCATAGTAGTTGTCTGAAATTTTTTTTTTT